CCAGCTTCCCTTCCCAATAATAGAAGTGGAGTAGAGGCAACATTTTTGAGATCAGAAAAGCAGCTCGAGAGGGAGCCAGAGTGGAAAGTCGCTTATACAGCTCAAATTAATGAAATGGTGGAGCGTGGGGCAGCAATCAAGCTCACTGAAGATACAATTAATTCCTGGAATGGACCAGTATGGTATGTGAGTCACCTGATTGCACCGAATCCTCACTCAGTTACGACTCCGGTGCGCTTGGTATGGAACAGCAGTCAGAAATTTAAAGGAGTGAGTATGAATGATCTTCTTCTGAAAGGCCCAGATTTTCTTAATCCGATCAGAGCTGTACTTCTAAGGTTTAGGAGAGGAGTTTATGCTGTCCTAGGAGATATCAGGAAGATGTATAACTCTGTATGGCTGGAGGAGAAAGAAATGCATCTGCATAGGTTTCTGTGGAGAGATGATCAGAGCGAAAAAATAGGAGAATATGCAATCACCAGAGTTAACATCGGTGATCGACCGGCAGGGTGCATTGCAGAGTTGGCCATGCGTGAAACTGCAAAACTGACTAAGTTTTCTCATCGACACGAAGAGCGCAAAGTCATCGAAGAGGATAGTTATGTAGATGATATTCTAACTTCCCACAATGATCGGAGACAGCTGGGCAAAATAACCGAAGGCGTTGAGGAGATCCTAAGAGATGGAGGGTTTTTCTTGAAGCACTGGATTCGGTCAGAAGAAAGTTGGAAGCCTGGTGATGGTGAGTCAGTAGAGTCAACAGAAGAAGACAGAATTCTAAAACTCCCAAACCAGCTGAGGGATAAAGACAACAAGGCCCTTGGAGTTGGGTATCTGGCAGAAGAGGATACACTTTACATCATGACATGAATTAACTTTTCCAAGCCAAAGAAGAAAATGAGGATAGGACAAAACCTCCTCAAAGAGGAGGTCAGGACTAAGACTCCTAATCCTCTGACCAGAAGAATGCTATTGAGTCAGGTGGCGGGACTGTATGATCCGATTGGCCTGGTCACACCGGTTAAGCAAAAAGGGGCCATCCTTGTACGAAAGGCATTTCAGGAGGTAGGACGTGGAAAGTTGACCAAAGATACATGGGATAAACCACTGTCAGAAAACCTCAGAGAAGAAGCCATTGAAGTGTTTGAGGAGTATGTTCAGCTAAGCAAGGTAACGTTTCCCAGAGGCATAACACCTGGAGGCTGGAAAGGAAAACCGTTGGGAATAACGTTCTCTGATGGAAGCGATAAGACCTATGGAGCTGTAACATATTTCAGGTGGGAAACAGACCAGGGAATTGAGGTGAGGCTAATTGAGTCCAAGGCCAAATTGACTCCTTTGGATCAAAAAGGGGAAGCAGTCAAGGCTGAAATGTGTGGTACAGTTTATGCAGCAAGACTTAAAAAATATATTGAGAAACATTGCCAAGTGGAAATTGACCAGTGGTTCCATTTGGTGGACAGCCAAACAGTGTTGGGAGCTATTCAACGGGCTAGCTATGGCTACCAGTCCTTCTTTGCCAATAGGATTGGAGAGATCCGGAGAACAACGCTAGTTAAGGATTGGTGGTGGATCCCAGGTGACTTAAACATTGCGGATATTATCACAAGGGGAGGTAGTCCAGAAAGCCTAAAACAAGATTCTGCATGGCAGAGAGGGCCTGTGTTCTTGAAGTGGCCAGTGGAGGATTGGCCAATTAAGTCAGCTGCTGAGATTGCAACTGCTGCAAGAGAAGCTATTAACAGACTTCAGAGGAAAGCATTCTCTGCAGTACTAACCAGAAGTCTGGCTAAGAAAAAGCAAGGCTCCGTCCTCCGGGAGAAAATTAAAGTGGGCGTTCATGAGGAAGGAGAAAATGACCTCATTGCAGATTCAGACACTTCTGTAAGTCAGAAGGAAAAGGCTAAGATTGCTCCATCAGGAAGGATATCTGATGGCATAGTAGCAAGTAAGTTACTTGATGTTGAAAAATTCAGCAAATTGTCCAGACTGATCAGAGTTACTGCTTGGGTGCGTCGAGCTGTGAAGAAGTGGCTGAAGATGAGAACTAAGACCTTGGTTTCATCAAAGTGGGAGGTTAAGTCTTTGGAGGAAAGAGTCAATGAAGCTATCTTGACAGTAAGAGAACAGGAGGATGCTCTTGAAGATCTCTTTCTAGCAGCCCAAGAGAATGTGATTTTTCCTGATACTACCCTCAGTAGGTTGGCAGTGTACAAGGATGAAAATTCTGGACTGTTTGTTTGTGGAGGAAGAATTCAAGTCTTCAATGAGGACAAAACTGCAGTTCCAATCTTACCATATAATGCATATGTGTCTACACTTCTGGCTCAGGAAGCTCATCAAGTAAACCATGAAGGAGTGGCTGGAACTTTGTTGAAAATGAGAAGAAAAGCTTGGGTTGTAAAAGGCCGCAGACTAGCTAAGAAATCCGTAGACTGCTGTGTGACCTGCAGAAAGGCAAGGTCGAAGCAATGCCAACAGATTATGGGAGACCTTCCACCAGAGCGGTCAGAACCAGCTGCACCATTTGAGTTCACAACCCTGGATTTGTTTGGACCTTATCTGGTAAAAGATGAGGTAAAGAAGAGGGTAGGACTCAAAGTTTGGGGAGTTGTCTTCTGTTGTATGGCATCAAGGGCTATCCATACTGATATTGTCAGTGATCAATCAACAGAAGGATTTCTGCTGGCATACCAAAGATTTACAGCTTTAAGGGGACATCCAAGGAAACTGTGGTCAGACTCCGGATCAAATTTCATCGGGGCCAAGCCTGTTCTTGAGGATCTTCACAAATTCCTAGAGCGACAAGACAGAGTAAAGTTAGAAATTGAAGCTACCAAGAACGGCACGGAGTGGTCTTGGAAAATTCATCCTGCAGATTCCCCTCACCGAAATGGAGCAACAGAAGCGGCTGTCCGTCTGGTTAAGCGAGCCCTCCAGAATCTAGGCTGTAATGGAGTTATGTCATGGGGGGAATTTCAAACTTTTCTTTACACTGCAACCAATTTGGTCAATGAAAGACCAATCGACGCCAGGACACAAAGTCGGGAAGACTGCGTGGAATACGTGAGTCCAAACTCTCTTCTCCTGGGTCGTACTGGAAAAAGAGGGGATCAAGGAAGTTTTGAGTTTGAAGGCTATCCGTACAAAAGACTAAGAATCATCCAGGAAGAAGTCAACAGGTTCTGGAGAAGTTGGTGTCAGCTGGCAGGTCCTAACCTCTTTGTAAGAAACAAGTGGCATACTAAAGAGCGGAATGTTGCCGTGGGAGATGTGGTATGGGTGGCTGACCAGAATGCTCTAAGAGGTCAGTACAAGATGGCCAGAGTCGTCAATATAAATGCAGACAAGAAAGGAGCCGTAAGAGATGCAATGGTCAGAGTATTCCCCAGCTATCCTGTCTCGATTGTTAAACCAAAACAAGCAGAAACAGCCAAGAATGTCAAACCAACAAAAAAGCATTGTGACAAGATCCCAGCTACGATTCTGCATAGGGATGTGAGACGTTTGGTGGTTCTGATTCCCATTGAAGAACAGTAAAGACATTTCAGCCAAGAAGTGTGTGTGACCTCCTTGGGTCAGTTGACCAGGAGCTCAAGTGGGAGGTGTTAAGTTGAATTTGAGAGAAAGAAAAAAAAAAGGTTAAAAGTATAAATTCATCATTGTTAAAGAGATTTAAGACTAAAATGAGTGCAGCCTATTGGTTGTGAGCACATAGTGCAACCTGGGAGAAACAAGGGAGCTGATTGGCCATTGAAACTGCACATGCCACACATAACCAGGTGTGTGTGATTACCAGCATGCAGGGAGAGGTTGGATAGCAGTGGGTGTGCTTCTGGGACGATTGAGTTGGAGTACACATATTAACTGTTGTTCAAAAACTGCTGGGAAAAGCAATGTGTTCATCAACTTGGAGATGCTACTGGTAGGACAAAGACTCATTTATTTAGTGACTACAGATATTGTGCATGGTTAGAGGCTGTTTGTTGATGCTAGCAGTCTTAGCATCTAACATGCTAACTTGCATTTTACTTTTCTGTTAAGTTGCTATGTAAACTGTGAATATTTTAGCAATGCTGTTTGTGTTTTAAATATCATTTCAATGTAAATTGATCTAAATACTGTGTGTAGTGACTCATATATTGATATATGTTTTTTTGTGTTATTAAGCTAACCATCTGGAATTATCATTGAGACAAGTACAAAAAGAAGATCTAGTCATTGATGAGAGATTTTCAATAAATTGCTTCTATGACGAAGAACCAGATGGTTTGAGTTATTCCATGCACCTTCTGAGTTGATTGAAGCCTTTTTTCAAGTTTGGGCAGACATTGTGGCAAAGAAAGACCCTGATAACTTGACACCCTTATGTGATCGATGCAGGAGCTCAGAAGAACTCATGCTCACATATTCATGTGGTATTCACACGCTTTCGAAAAGGATATCGGTCCTGATGTTGAATTAGTTCTGTTCAGACGATCTGATCTTATATTGGCATTGCTGCATTTTCAACAGTTGTCTTTTACGTTTGGTGTGGTAGTGGCTGAGGGTAACTCTTGATCCAGTGCTTCTAAAAATGTTTACAGGTATCGTCCTCAGGTTTCTTTTGAAGATGGATTGTGCATTTGTCATTTTGTCTTAAATTTACCTAAATTTAGGGTTTAAGTGCCTAAAGCATTTTAGTCTAGGACAATTCTGTTAAGGGTGTATAATTCATATCTTGGTGTGTGTTGCGATAGGATGGGTTAGTTTAGATTTTTTTTGTGTATGTGTTTTTTGTGCTCTTTTTGTACATATGTGAAATTCCAAGCATGTCTGTTTTATGGTTTGAATAAAAAAAAACTGTTAGAAATGTTAGGGAGTTTTTTTAAAGAAAGAGCTGCTTTGGAACATATTCTGGTGGTCTATCTCTTTACAATTTGTAACGAGTGTTGAAACCTTAAAATGTATCATTAAAATGAACCCATAAAGCCATCTGAACTTTAAAATGTATTCCTCACCTCCTATGGCACCACCATGATCAAGACTCCTACGTTTAAAGGCTCGAAATGTGATGAAAAGCGGGACCAGCACTGAGAACAGCCACCGCCATGGTGAGACTGGCTGCAGAGTACCTGCAAAACAGCATTTTATATGCATTGAATTGTACATGAAAAATCTGAATCTTCTGACTTTAACATTACTTTTCGAAATTTTGTTAACTATCGCGACATTTCTAGGCCTAGAAATTACACTTTTTATATTCTATAATATTTCCAGGAAAGTGGGACTCAGCAGACAATTTCACTTTGCTTTTAAATCCAATCATTTAATGACAAAAAGGACACTTATTTGCAAATGCTTAAAATACATTTTGAACTTAACTTTACACTTTTTTTGAAATGCACACCGTAATCATTACGTTTTAACAACATCTTTTCATTGTCACTTTGTTGTCAATTGTCACAATACATTTTATTCCAGTTTTCAAACTATTGAAAGTGTACCTGTATTTGCAAAGTAACACATTAATTAATGATAAACAGCCAAATTGTTTTGTGATGGAAAATTTTGGCCAAGTCTGTTAAATTATCTATAAAGTTGAATTCATTCACTAGTTGTAAGGCTAAGGTATCTGAAACCTTTTTCCATAGGAGGCCCTTTCATACACTGACAGACTGGGAGGCTGGTTTCACACACAGCCCTTATGGATTCAGATACGACTAAGTAACTCCAAAGCAAGAGAAAGTGAGCTCTCACCGTAGTAAGTGCTGGCAGTTATAGACAGGACCCAGAACGATAATGAAATTGCCAGTGTAGAACACAACACGATCATATACGCCATCATCTTGATGTAATCTTTGATGAATATACCATCCTCAAATTGCATGTTCATTGAGGGGCGCACAGCTATGGAGAAAATCAAACAGAATAGAGTGAAATGTCAACCAAATGTTGCTTATTATTTTCTCAGGATTAAAAAATTATTGTGTTAAAATTGATTGGTAATCCTAGTGCTACCTTCCCTTTCAAAAATCTGTCATGCTAATTTCCTGTATAGCTACAGCTCCTATGTGACCAGTATGTATTGTAGAGGGGGCGGGAATAATCATAGTTTCTGTCAAAAAATTATACTACACTAATTTTTACTCATTTGTAATAAATTATTAACTATCAGAGAGTCAATATCATCCAAAATAAGAAAAGTACTGTTGGGATGCCAATGCCATATTATTTCATAATATAATATGGGACCCTAATATCTTATAATTATTATGATATAATTTACTATAAGTTTATTGTATTAAATATACCTGTAGTAACTACGATAAGTTAGACATTATGATTGTAGTGAATTTTTGTAAGGTTGTGTACAAGCTTCTAACATCATGCTTTACCACTAACAATATTAAACTATAACCAACAACACCTGAAATAATCCTGCCACAAATACTTGTTCCCCACTTGATCCATGTTTCCTGAAGTACATCCACGTTCGGAAGTTTGTAACAGTAATGAGCAAAGAGCAAAGGTCTATTCGCTGTGAAAGTGTGAACTGACTTCCGGTCAACTCAAACAAACAGCGAAATCTGACCTATCAGGATAAAGTACACATACACACAGATGACGCACAGCGATTGGCAGAGGGCAAAGCGGGGCTTTACCTTGATTGGTGAAAATCTGTTGCTCCATGTCAGTAATTGGATAGCAAGCCGTCTATCAAGCTGGGTCTGATCTTCTTCTTCTTTTGCTTTTATAGGGCTTCGCAAACGTCACTAGAGCACCTGCTTATGTACTGTGGCGAGAGCAGAGAAAGTACAGCCTGTATTACTCTGCCGTTTATCTCTGTGGACTGATAAAGAATTCTCTTAAAACACACTTTTCAGTGTTCACACTATCTGTAATTTGTCCTGAAACAACATACAACAGAAAACATTCTGTCATTTGTCATGTTTTTAAACATTTTCACCATGTCGCAATGGATTGTGTAACATTTTAAATATTTTTACAATAAAATAGCTAACTTCCTTGACTTGATATGGCTAATTCCATAGGTAGTGCTTTTTAAGTGTAATAGTATTTATTTATTTAAAATTTCATAAAAGTATCGTATATCCAGTGTGTAGGCTTACTCATAACTTAACTTAATAATTAATTACTGCAATTTTATTACTTTTCCCTTGAAAAGGTAAAGTAAGGGATTACTCTTATTTTTTCTGCAATTTAATTACAGTTACTTATTGTGTTAAATACTGTATATACTATGATGCAATTCTATGCTAAATATAGCCAAGTGGATTTAACATCAAAATTTTAAAGTCTAAAGTAAACAAATATAAAAAATAAAAAATGAATTTAACCTTCTCCCTTTAAATACTTGAGTCAGTTCAAGAATAATGCATGTCATTTATATTATTTATTTAAAAGAGCAGTTTCATATTATTTAACTGGTTGAGGATTAAGAAAGTAATAATAATGCAATACTTTTTAGAGAGAGTAATTACAGTTATCTAATTACACTAAAAAAGTAATTAATTACTAGCTACTAATTAGCCTACGTATTCAGAGTAACTTACCCAACACTGCTTATATCTTACAAAAATAATACATTTAATCTCAACTGATCTAAAAATTTTGTCTCATTGGTACACAAATACATAAACATTTGAAAAAGATTTGGTGCAATGTTTGTTTGGGTAGAAATGACCTGTAGGACAGCCATAATTTAAATTAAAAAAAACTTTTACATAATTTTCACACAATAATTGTATTTTATAAAAACATACTGATATTTTAAACATGTAATAATAATAATATAATGAATTTTCATAATTTAAGATTGAAAGTCTGTCTATACATTTTAGTAGAGAGGTGACAGAAGCTTCTAAGCGCTTAAGCGTTTATTGGAGGTTATAATGAATAAAAGATTCTGCACAAAATTTGACTTTTGGGGCTTGAATAATTATCAATTTTGTCAATTATTTATTTATTTATTTTTTCATTTTTCATCAACTTTACATTCTCAGAATCCCCCCAAATGTGTATTAATAAACTTTATATAATAGTTTAGGCTACTGTTGCCTTTGTTGAATTGTTTTCATAAAAGCAGCTAAATGTCTTGCAGATCGAGGGGGTTGAATAATTTTGATTGCAACTGTATTACAAACATTTTAAAAGCATATATTCATAAAGGCATTATAAAAAGGTGACCGATTTAATGAGATATTCTATGTATATATCTATGACACCAGACATATTTTTAAACATCCCTTTATAATGACATAATGACCATGTTTCTGGTCTATTTAACTAAGCAATTTAATAAAGAACTACAGACATTCTATTATAGTAGACATGGACACATTTTACAAACAGGTATTACAAGTATTAAATATAAAATTATGATAGAAAGTAATTAATCAAATAATCAAAGAACTGCACTTACCCAGTGCACTTACCCAGAAGAAGAAATGTATGATTTTTGTATCTCAGTGTGACTCTCTGCATGAAAAAGCATGATAATGCGTTTCAAGACAGCGATCACATGATCTTAAAAGGGCCCTGTGTTCTGGGACACCTTTGATGGCAGACATAACCGTAGCTCAACATGGTTGCCAAGTCTACTATTGGGCTACTTTTAAACTGTTGCCGTTAAAGATTTGACGTATAGCATAAATTATATTTGACTGAAATGCTTAAACTGATATTTCACTCCACTTACATTATACCAGGGATGTAACTGTGCTAGAGTAAGAAGATTTTTGTCAGGAAGGGACACTGGTTAGGAGCCTTTGCTTGCTCCTGTTAGCTCTATCTTTCATAAGCTTTGTGAAAACAGACTGTGTTTATGATTGCTACTAGAGAACAACTTTTCAAGTTGAAAATCATTAAAATATACGTTTTGGTTTGGGAGTGGCATGTCATTTTAGAATTTGGGGTTAGTTTTGATTAGTCAACAGGCTGTTTTTATTATGCAGATTTGGCAACCCTGCAGCTCAATGACCATATTCAGCTGCATGACCCATCAGATCATTTCTGAGAATCAGTTCATCACAATGTGCAGTAAAATTACAAGTTGTTCTCTGTTGATGAAATTATAGAACATGGCCATGAATAGCACCAAAATGGGGTTCTTGGTCTTGTAACTCCTTATAAAACAAAAATGGAATATACTGGAAAATATGAAGCAATATTATATCACATAATACATTTCCATATATGGGAAACTATAGTGCTCATATTTTTCAATATACTGCAGTATATGCATGGGCCAGTTATATATTGATACATATAAAAAAATATAGAGCAATGAGGACAAAAACTGCAAAAAAAAAATCACATAAAATAGCTTCATTGAAAAACTTAGGACATTTCTCTTTCATGAGTTAACGCGTGGGTTTACATAAAGCTGAAACACATTCATAAACTTTTATCTCTTTTTATTTTGTGCATAGTTACACATTTATACATCAAAAATCTGTCTAATCACCAATCATTCACTTGGACATCAAAAAAAGATGTTTACTAAATACAAATAATTCATTATAAAAATTATAATTATAACAATTAAAAACAAACTTGTAAAATGGTCATTATTACAATAATACCCTAAAACCCTAAAGGTTGTGTGTGGAAAAAATAGGCTGTATTGAAAATTCATGAGATTAATCACGATTACATGAGCTGGGTAGATTATTTACAAATTGTAGTCTGTAACTGAGTCAAAATTAAATTACAAAAATTGTAGTTAGTAATGTAATCTAGATTACGCATTTTAGAGAATGTATTCTGACTACTTTTTGATTACTTTTTAGATTACTTTTTAACTAACCCGTTTATCATATTGATTTGAATAGGATAATCTTATACCATATTGATATAAAATATACAAAGAGAAAAAAAATATTCATTCTTTACATGAAGTGCATTAAATATTACATTACATCAGGGTTTCCCAGCCCAGGGATTTGTTTAAACTCTGTTTGCAAAGCCTGTGCTGAAATTGTGACTGATTTACCAAAGAATACACAGTGAAATTGACCAAATACAAATAAATAATGCTCAACTGAGACATTTAAATAACCACATTCCTAGCATTAGGATCCTTTGGAAGGTAATGTTACTTTTAGTCCAGTGATCCTGTATCCAGTGGGCGGGGCCAAAGTTGCAGTGATGAAGTAGGCGTTGATCTTCTGCAGAGTCTTTCACCTGTAGATTTAGGCACATTCCACAACGAGTCGTTCTCTGGGCTTGGTTGGTAACAATAAAAGCTGTTTTTGGACTAACAAGGAAACTTTCAGTTCTGAAACCTACAGGATATTCTTATAGTATGATGATCTCTTATATGTCAAAAGCTCAAGGAAAATTTTATTAAAGATCCACCAAGCCAGGATGAAGTGTTTGGAGAACGAACATGTGTCACAGCGCACAGATGCTACATCTGATGAGACGCAGGAGGAGCCGAGCCAGGAAGCACCCCATAGCGCTCAGAGCCTCCGTGTGCCACTAACCGTCCCCCCAAGTCTTCTGCCCCAGGCAAAGGTGCGAATCAAGTGGCCACAGGCCTGTAAGACGGCAGTCTGGAGGCAGTTCGATGAGGACGTTGACAAGTTGCTTGAAGCAACAGAGAAGGGAGATGTGGATCGAAGGCTGCAGGCAATGACGACCATCATCTCCAGCCTAGCGCAGGAGAGGTTCGGTGCCGAGGAGAAACGATCAACTCCAACCACCTATTCCATGAACCACAGAGCAGCGAAGATCCACAAAATCTGGCAGGAGTTGAAGTCCCTCAAGAAGCGGTACAAGGAAGCCAGTGAGGAGCAACGCCCCCCGAGGGTGAGGGTGTCTGATGTTGAAAGACCCGAAACACCCGAGGACCCCAGGTTACATCACTGATGATGTGTTCAGGTGCATCTGAAGATGTGTTTCAAGAACTATTTCTCAATTCATAACACCTTTAACAACATTTTTTTCATAACCAACGATATACACTGAATTCTAGCCTAATTCTAGCCTGTAACAGTACAGTTCCTATAATTCACCTATAATACTGTCACTTTCCAACCCTGCTAATTTTGTCAGGTATTCAGTAGCCAACAAGTTTACTTATTCAATGATCTTTTTTTCTCTCATTCTTTCTCGTGTAAACTGAGTACACAACGCTTACAGTATTACTTTTAAATTTATATTTTTCACAATTATTTATTCAGGTGTCAGACACACACCAGTCATCATTTTAAAAGACAAGTGGGAAAGGTTAGACATTTTATCATGGTCATGTTTATTATTGATTTTTACATCCTTGTTGCTGCTCATACCGTAATAATACAGATACAACAGGGCTAAAGGCACACCTTGTGCTTTTCATTGGTCCCAGTGTATGATTGCAGAAAAAATATATGTTTTTATCGAGCAACAGATTTTGTGTAAAAAGAAATCACACAAAGTGGTTTATTTTGTTTAAAAATCTTATAAATGTATTAGGTGCATGGCAAGGTGGGCCTCTTACCCCTCACACTGGGTAAAACCAGCATAG